TGCCCAGCCCTGGCTTAATCCATCAGCCACCCAAGGATTTAACCAAGAGCATGCTAAAAGCTCTGCAAATAAAGTCACGCAATGGGCAGAGAGCTAGCAATAAAGCTATCAATGAGAGACACGGCAATCCATCTACTACTATGCAGTCAGAGCATACCTGGAAAGGTGTCTTCATCTGTGGGGGGGATCTCTGGGATGGCCCAGGACTGAGTTTCAAAAGTTGGGAAAGGAACATGGGCTTTGTTGTCATCCCACACTTTGCAGGAGTGCTCCATCCTTCCTAGCATGCAAAGCAGTTTCTTCCGGACGTCGTTTGCAAAGGGATCTTGTAGGGCCCTTTGAGACTTAACTCTGTGCAAAAGAAGTTGTAGCATGAGCTTTTGGTCTGGGTGACCAGACGTCCTCACTCCAAAGGAGGACATTCAAGAAAAAATGTGGGGCATCACCAAATAAAAGCTAAAAACACAGACATAACTGTAATAAATCCCTGCTTCTTAGTCATGTTCGGAATGGAGGACATTTTGACATTCCTCCAGGACAGAAGGTTGAAATGTAGGCCATGTCCTGGAAAAAGAGGATGTCTGGTCACCTTGGCTTTGGTAGACTTGGTGCATTTCTTCAAATGCATGCTTTTGAAAAGTAACTTCACTACACTGAGGACAGCTCAAAAGCAATTAGTTACAAGTAACTGTGTTAGTTCCAACCTTTTGATAGTTTGCAGGTAGAGATATGTCTCCTTCCCCAATAAAACAATGCTATTCCTTGTTGGGGAAGGAAGGCACTCTGTACATCCTCAGAAACACCAGCATAGCTTTGAAAAGGAGAAGAAACTCTGTTTGAAGTGCCTCTTTGCTCAATTATTTATGGGCTTTTGTGGTTATCAGAAGGTTGTCCCACAGGACAGGAGCCATTTCTTTCTTAGATTGCATCCACACTGCAGAAATAATGCCATTTTACACCGCATTAACTTCCATGGCTCAATGCTATGAAATTCTAGGATTTGTAGTTTTGTGAGATACTTAGTCCTTCTCTATCAGAGAGGTCTGGTGCCCCCAACAAACTGCAAATCCCAGGATTCCATAGCATGGAGCCATGGCAGTTAAAGCAATGCCGAAGTGTATTAATTATCCAGTGTGGATGCAACCCTAGAAACCACAGATTGCTATGGGTTTCACATTCTGCATGCACCTGTGTGAATTTTTGTTAAGGCATGAAATACTCCTTGTTTTAACAGTTTAAAAGCTTCCTGTCCCCTTAAGTTTGCCAGATCCTTTCTCCTTCAGCTGGAAATGCTTATTTTGTGTAGCCTTTCAAAAGTCCTCTATGAAACGGCTGCCCTTGCCTGGTGCAAAATGAAGAGGAAAGGACTAGAGAAGTCGTGTTCAGCTAGTTTCTGTGTTTGCTTCTGCAAATACAGCTCCCTCTCCTTCCCTCCGCCCTCCTCCAGCTGGAAAAGAAAATGTATTTGCAGCAACGGCTGCAAGAAGAGAAGTTTTAAGAGGCTATGCTTAAGTAGAGCCTCCATGTCCCAAGGCACAAGATCGTGGAAATACCTATTGCAAGAGGGAGGGAAAGATTATTCTTTCAGGTCCTCCTCTTGGGCTTCTCACAGTGAGAAACGGGTTGCCAAAGGCCTGTTCCCCCTGTCCTGCCTTGGCCTGGTCCAGTTTCAATGGCACAGCTCTTTATTGTTAAATTAAGTTTTATGAGACTATGCTTAAGCATGCCATGCTGGAGGGAAGTGAAACCTCCTTGTCCCAAGGCACTAAATCTTGGAGAGATCTGTTGCAAAGAGGAAGGAGGGATTATTCTTTCAAGTCTTTCCCATGGTCTTCTCACACCAGGAAACAGGTTGCCAAATGCCAGGTCACCGTGTCTTGCCTTGTCCTGGTCCAGTTTCAGTGTACAGCCCTTTGTTAAGATTTATGAGGCTATGCTTAAGCATGCCATGCTGGAGGGAAGTGGAACCTCCACATCCCAAGGCACTAAATCTTGGAGGTACCTGTTGCAAAAAGGAAGGAAGGAAGGAAGGAAGGATTATTCTTTCAGGTCCTTCCTGTAGTCTTGTTGCAGTAGAAAACAGGTTGCCAAATGCCTGTTCCCCCTTCTTGCCTTGGCCTGGTCCAGTTTCAGTGGTGCAGTCCTTCATATCTTCAGGGCTTAACTATATGGGGCCAGTTTTTAGGGTTGGTCTGGAATGCAGGAGAGCCAGTGTGGCATAGTGGTTTGAGC